AGAGTGCTGTCCCCCGGTAGAGCTCACAGCAACCTCCAACGCCTGGGCTCAAGTGAGTCTCCTGCCTCAGCCTCCCAAGTAGCTGGGACCACAGGTGCCCACCACAACACCCAGCTTTTTTTTGGTTGCAGCCGTCGTTGTTTGGCAGGCCCAGGCTGGATTTGAACCCACCACCTTAGGTGTATGTGTCTGGCGCCTTAGCCACTTGAGCCACAGGCGCCAAGCCAATTGCCTAGGCTTTTCATACAGAATGGAAGCTAATTTTATTATAGAAACATAAGGACATTCCCCCATTCACATAATTATTCTGTAGATAAATGTTGTTGAGGACTTTAATTTTTTTAGGATTTTTTTCCCCCTGACCTCTGTCACGCTGCCCTGAGCAAAGTGCTGTAGTATCATAGCTCGCAGCATCTTCAAGCTCCTGGGCTCAAGTGATCTGATCTCTTGCCTCAGCCTCTTAAGTAGCTGGCACAACACCCAGTTAGTTTTTTCTATTTTTATTTATTTATTTGAGACAGAATCTTATTATGTCACCCTCAGTAGAGTTCTGTGGCATCATAGTTCACAGCATCCTTCAACTCTTGGGCTCAAATGATCCTCTTACCTCAGTTTTTCTATTTTTAGTAGAGATGAGGTCTCGCTTTTGCTCAGGTTGATCTCCAACTCATGAGCACAAGTGATTCGCTCACCTCAGCCTCCTAGAGTGCTAGGATTACAGGCGTGAGCCACCGCGCCTGGCCTATTGCAGTGGTTTTAGTTGTCATTTTTGTCCTCGGGTCCGAGGTAGTTTAACTGTATGCTTTTAATTTAAATGGGTCTCGCTGGGTTTTAGTAGGAGCAAAATAAATAGTTAACTTTTGCATATGAACTTTATGGCCACCCTGTACGGTACTCTTGGGATAGCTGCTTAACCTTAAGTAGTCCAGATAATTCTACCCAATGTGATGTTGGAAACAGAAAAGTTTAGAGGAGGGGAAATCTTACAGAGCAAGGAGTTTGTTTTAAATTTAGCTGAGTACCAACAATGTTCAGAATGTATTCTTTCTCTAATGTCAGTAACATTCGAATTTATTCTGAGGGACTTTTACAGTAGTGATATAAATTATGGTTAAATATTCTAGTAATACTGTTAATTATAAGGTGATGCAGATAAACTTGTTCTTCAAGCATGTCTGATACTGGGATTGAAATTAATTTTAGCATGAATTTTTCAAATTTAAGATTGTCTATACTTTTTGCAGGGTGCATATGTCAAAATTGAAGCAGTTAGCTTTCAGTTTTGTGTTATTTAGTTCTCTTCAGGCAAATTGATTCTACATCTTTGATTTAAAAATTGAGAAGAAAAACTGTAACTAAATCTTGATATGTTCATGTATGTTATTGATATTATGCTAAGTATAGTATGTGACTGACAGTACTTTGAGATTCCAGCCATTGGTCTTTATCCCTGAAGAGATGGTTCTTAGAATTTGTAAGCTATAACTTGATTTTCTTAATACCACACTCTAGCATTTACTATGTGCTAAAACATAGTCTAAGCATTTTAGAAATAACTTCTAATCCTCACCAGGGTTGAGGTAGGTGCTATTAGCTAGTATCTTCATTTTGATAGACATTAAACCTGTATGTTTAACTATCCATAGTCACATAGCTGTTCAGAGGAGAGACTAGATTGAATGTAGATAGCCTACCCTTAGTTTGTGAAGTTATGCTAACTTTCACGTGAGACAGGATTGATTTAAACAGTGGGGGTATGGCTGGAGGTATATGCTTAAGAGGTATAGCAGATTCTGTAATGGCTTTTCCTCCTTATGGTTACCTTCCTTGAGGGTGCTTATCTTTTAATTTTTCATTTATTTATTTTTGAGACAGTAGCAGATTCTGTAATGGCTTTGCTTCATTATGGGTTTCCTTCCCTTATCTTCCTTAAGGGTGCTTATCTTTTAAATTTTAATTTTTATTTACTTATTTATTTTTTGCAGGTTTTGGCCAGGGCTGGGTTTAAACCCACTGCCTCTGGTATATGGGGCCTGCGCCCTACTCCTTTGAGCCATAGGCGCCACCCTATTTTATTTTTATTTTTTTGAGACAGAGTCTTACTTTGTCACCCTCGGTAGAGTAATGTGGTGTCCCAGCTCACAGCAGACTCTTGGGCTTAAGTGATTTTCTTGCCTCAGCCTCCCAAGTAGCTGGGACTACAGGCGCCTGCCACAATGCTCGGCTATTTTTTTTGTTGCAGTTGTCATTGTTTTAGCTGGCCTGAGACGGGCTCAAACCACCAGCCTTGGTGTATGTGGCCAGCGCCCTACCCACTGGGTTATGGGCACTGCCAGTCTTTTAATTTTTTTTTTTTGGAGACAGAGTCTCACTATGTTGCCCTCAGTAGAGTGCTATGGCATCACAGCTCATAGCAACCACAAACTATTGGGCTTAAGCAATTCTCTTGCCTCAGCCTCCCAAGTAACTGGGGCTACAGGTGCCTGCCACAACACTTGGCTTTTTGTTTTTTGGTTGCAGTTGTCATCTTTGTTTAGCAGACCTAGGCTGGGCTTGAACCCGCCAGCATCAGTGTATGTGGCCAGCACCCTACTCACTGAGCTACGGGTGCTGAGCCCAGTCTTTTGATTTTTAATAAAAAAAATTTTAAGTGTCCTTGTAAATTGTTTATTGCCTTAAAATGTGAGTTTCATAAAGATGTTATTAGTGTACTTCTCTCTTTCTCTTTTTTAAAAGATTATAACTCTAAAATTGTATTCCCTAGGCTCAAAATACAGTGGTAAGCAGGTGTTTATAAATCTATTCTTTTATACAGGAAAGAAACGCTGAAAATGCAATTGAAGCACTTAAGGAGTATGAGCCTGAGATGGGCAAAGTATATCGACAGGACAGAAAGAGTGTACAGCGGATTAAAGCTAAAGACATAGTTCCTGGTGATATTGTAGAAATTGCTGGTAAGTTAAGTTTGACATTTCTTTTATTCTAGCTTGTATTTCTGGATGCAGTCTTTTTCTCAAGCTTATAATTATATCTAAGTGATTGTTTTCATGTATCAGTTATATCAACACATTTTAGTACCATCGTGCAAATCTTGTTTTGGCAAAATTTTGAAATGTTTTACTGCCTCCCTTCATATTGTTGATAAGGTTTTTGTATTTAAACAAGGTGTTTTTAATTTTTCTACTTACTAATTTAAATACATTGTAGAACACCAGTGTTAGAGAGATAAAGCTTAATATTTGACAGTTGCAGTGAGTAGTTTGTTAGAATACTGGCTAATGGCTATACAATTTTTTCTTTTTGGGTATTTGGCACAAACAAATGTTAAGTCATACTTGTAATTATTAAATTGAGTTGATGGCTTAGGGTAATTTCCTGACTCTATAAAAACTATGCTTACCAAGGTGGGCTGATCACCTAAGCTCAGCAGATTGAGACCAGCCTGAGCTAGAGAGAGACCCTCGTCTCTAAAAATAGCCAGGCATTGTGAGGGATGCCTATAGTTGCAGCTTCTCTGGAGGATGAGGCAAGAGAATCATTTGAGCCCGAGAGTCTGAGGTTGTTGTGAGCTGTGACACCATGGTTCTCTACTGGGGGTGATAAGTGAGACTGTGTGTCAAAAAAATAAATTAATAAAAACTAGGCTTAAAAATACTTTTGTATCACATTCACCTGGGTGTCTGTGAGTGGACTCTAAGGATCAACTTCAAGGACTCCATGAATCCATTGCAAGTCTTGAGTTCTCCACAGACCTCCAAGGGAGTCAGTATCCTCACTGTTTTAGAGTATCTTGATAGTTTTTTTGACTGTTTCACTTATGGAAATTTTATTATATAGTATTGTTTAGAATTCTTTTGAATTTAGAATACTCTTTGTATCTTTTTGTAAATTGTCTCATAGTAATCCTTTTTCAGTGACTTGGAGCTATGCTTTGTCTGTTATTATCTTACTCATTTTTAATGAAAAGGATTGAAAGAGCTGCATCTCATAGCCTGTGCTATACAACTTTGGCCTCTGAAAGGAAATTGCCTCATCATAAATATGTTTTTCATTCATAAATTTTGTTCTTTCAGATAAAAGGGGACTGTTGCATATAAGCCAATAAATCAGTTATTTGGGACTATGGTGTGTGTGTAAATGACTTCACAGTTTATTTAAGCATAGTGTTAACAAAATTGTAAGTCAGGATGAAGCATTCTGGCTCTTGAAGGTTGGGGGTGTGTGTGTTTTTTTTGTGACGAGACCTCACTCATCTTTGGCTAGAAGGTTCAGTGACATAAAATTTTGCCAAAACACAACCTCAATCTTCCATGCTCAAGTGATCCTCCTGCCTTCTCCTCCCAGGTAGCTGGGACTAGAGGAGCACACCATCATACTCAGCTAATTTTTTTTAATTTTTTGTAGAGACAGGGTCTTCTATTGTCTAGGGGTCTCAAACTCCTGGCCTCAAGTATTCCTGCCTCAGCATCCCAAAGTGCAAGATTATAAGCATAAGCCATCATGCCTGGCCTAGCTATTAGATTTTTTAAAACTTTTATTTTGATGTAATTTCACATTTAAGAAGAATTCTCCTATCCTTCACCCTGATTCTCCAAATGTTAACATTTTGTCACATGTGTATTATCATTCTCTTTAACACTATATCTGTATGCATACATTTTTATCTGTTCTGTTTGGGACAATGTTGCAGAAATGCCACTTCCAAATAATTGAGTGCTTATTTTATAAAGTCAAGTACATAATCTTAAACTACATATAACCCTAGTATAATTATCAAAGTCTGGAAGTAGATACTGTAAA